TGCCTTTATTGTGTTTTTGTTTGTTTTCGATGTGTAGGACATCTTTAAGTATCTTTTATAGGGCTGGTTTGGTGGAGGGTTTTTTTTTTTTTTTTGCTATGGAAGGTTTTTATTTGACCTTTGGTTATGGAGGAGAGTTTAGCTGGGTACAGTATTCTTGGTTGATAGTTGTCTGTCTTTAGATCATGGCATACATCATTCCAGACTCTTCTTGCTTTAATTGTCTCTGCTGAGAAATCTGAGGTGATTCTAATTGGTTTCCCTTTATAGGAAATTGAGCTTTTCTACTTGATAGCTTTATGGATCTTTTCCTTCTTCTGAATTGATCCTGTGCAGATTATCATGTGATGGTGGGATGTCCTATTCTGCTCTGGTCTATTTGGGGTTCTAAATGCTTCTTGTATCTGAATAGACCTATCTTTTTGCATGTTTGGGAAGTTCTCTGCTAGGTCCTGTTAAACAAATTTCCTAGGCCATTAACTTCTGTTTCTAGGTGCTCCTCTACATCCATTATCCTCAGGTTAGGCCTTCTGATGGTGTCTTCCAAGTGTTGAATAGATCTATCATATTTCTTGGATTTATCTTGGATAGCTGTATGTTCTTTTCTATAATATCTAGGCTGTCTTCAATGCCCGAGATTTGATCTTCTGCATGCTCTAACCTGCTCTGAAAACTTTCTACTTTGCTGTTTATTTCTTTTCCTTCTAATTGGTCGGCTTTGATGGCTTCAAATTCTTTGTTGGCTTTTTGCTTTAGATCTTGTATGAACTTCTTTACTTCCTTAATTTGATGTTCAGTGTTTATTCTCAAATCACTTAGTTGATTGGTTATGGTTTCCTTGGCTCCCATTCCTTCTGTCGGGTTCCATTCATTATTCCCTTTGTGGTCTCCCTGAATTCTTTCAGCTGTCTGCTTATGGATTCCATGAATATCACTATTGATCTTTTTCTATTCTTGTATCCCTCTTGCAATTGTTGTATTACTCATTGATTAGCATCCTCACGTTCACACAATTCCTGTAATTCTCTTTGACTGTTCTCAACCTGTTCACGCAATTCCTTCATTACTCTTTGAGTGTTCTCAAGCTGCTCACAAAATCCCTTTATCCATCTTTGAGTAGCTTCCTCATGCTCATGAGATTCTTGTATTGATCTTTTGTTTGCCTCCTCTCTCTCCCTATCCCGCTCACACTGAGTCCTTTGCTGGTTTTCAATCTTTTCATTTTCCACGTTTACCAGTAGTGTTTGTAGAGCTTTGTGGGAACTCTCCTCTGGATTATTCATTATCTGTTCTGTCACCTGATTCTCATGAGTGGGGGTTGAGATATGTGGACTTGCCATTTTTCTTCTGTTTTACCGACTTGTTCTGCCCATTTGGTATGAAAGCAACAATTTTGTGCTAGAACTCTATTTTAAGGCATCAACCAGAGTCCTGTAGTTGCACAGTTAAAAGGCTGCAAGTATAATTTAGTTCAACAGATATAGTCTATTCAACATCAAACAGCTATGGATTAATGGGCTAAGAACAGCAAAGAAAGATTTGGCAAACCAGAAATTATGAGGTTTAGGGAGAAATGTGGGGAAAAATATGATTAGAGGGATGTGGATAGGTAAAAGGAAAGTGAAATTAACCAAGTCCTAATCTCAGAGAGGGAAATGGATTGGACAGAATGATGGGCGAGGGAGAAAAAAAGAGAGAAGAAAAAATGGAAAAAGAAAAATTTAAATTTAAAATGAAACTTAAAAATTATTTAATTTTAAAGGTGAAATTGATTGAAGAATGGGGATAGGATGTGAGGAGGGGAGGGATAGAAAGGAGACATGAAAAACTAAAAAATAAAAGTTCTTAGAAAATTATATAGGTATAAAGAGATAATACTGCTATTAAGGAATTTAAGCCTAAGAGGTTTTGAATTGAGTAATAAATTTGTGGATTAAGTGTGTACACAATGCGGGATAAGGTCTAATATTTGGTGACAGGTATATCTGAGGATGAGCAGAACCACCATTAAATCACTGAAAAAAGAACGAAAGGGAATGAAAAATGAAAAGAATGAGAAAAAAGAAAAAAAAGACCCAAAAGTCAGTAGAGTTTTAAAAAAAGCACATACATATACACCTAAAATAAAAATTTTAAGAGGAAAAAAATGATTACAGAAAACAATATTTAAAAAAAATTATAAATGAAAAATAAGGTACAAAAAACGAGTTCTTTGATTTTTTTGGGGGGTTGGGGTGGATGGGAAGATCCTCTATCTCCCTTGTGTCATGTTTGTAACCAGTCTCTTGATGGAGTCTCTGTTCTGCTTGTGGTGTTTTGTTTTCCTGTGGCTTGATTAGTTTCTGAAGTCAGTTTGTTTGAGCAGGCAGAAAAATGCTCAGATTTACCCAGGATTTTATGATCCTCCTCCCAGTCTAGTTCAGTGGGAGTTAGATCTGCTTTGAGTATCACAAGAGGGAGATGGCTGTTTCCTCTAGTTTGGAGATGCTGTGATGAGGCTCGGTTCTGGGAAGAGTTAAGGCCTTTGAGCAAACAGTAGCTTTTCCCTGAGAGTCTAGCTTCTGAGACACTCACAGAGCCCAGCCTAGAGCCATTCTCAGGGTTTCTGTTTACTGAAATTTCAATTGATTTTCTAGGCTTTTGTAGGGAGGGGCAGCCTCTGGCTCTGTTTAGCCACTGAAGAAAGTCACTCCTCAGTGTGGGGATGTTCCTCTCTCTGGGCTGGGTGTCTTTCCCCTGGGTGGAACTGAGCCTGGCAGTTCAGGTTAGGTTCCTGTGACCTGCTAAATGACTCTTTTGTTTTCTTCCAAGGCCTGAGTTGGAGCTAGGTGCTCAGCCAGGCCTTTGTTAGTATCAAAGATGGAGATCTCTGGTAGTGTGTTGGGGTGGCCTTCCCTTATTTGCTCCCTGAGAAGGAGTGAGGATGTCAGGGTTCTACTCATGCCAGAGTCTTGGTTTGTGGGTCTTCCTTGGTCTGTGATCTGCAGAATGAAGATATCTGCTCCTTGTCAGTTCTAGCTCGTATTCAGTAGAATCCAATCACCTGCTGCATCTGATGCCATTGTCCTGGACTTTTTCGGTTGTAGGTATGGTGGCTATGGCTGCCACTGCTGCAGCAGATGTGGCTACCAGAAAGTGCTCAGATCTGTTTCCTTGTCTGGATTTTCCTTCTCTGGCCAAACTCTCTGTACTGTGATGGCACACTTGGTGTGATTCTCTGGCCTAGGACTCTTCACTAGAACACTAAAACTGCTTTCTATGCGAGAGCTTGTTTACCCTCCAGCTTCTTTTCTGCCATCTTCCCAGAATCTCCTATGTTTTCTTATCATTGACAATGTATGAGCTTGGGTCTCTACCTGAATTATGACCTCAGGGTACAGGAGAGCTTCCTTGTTCCTTAGTGTACCCTGCATGTGCATCTGGTTCAGATTTGGGGGAGCAATGACAGAAAGTTTCATTGATTCATACTGGTATGTCTAGGAACAATGGTCATAGCTGGATATTGGGGATTCTTTCTTCTTGCTAAGCTTAGCCAAGTTATTGCTTGCCATGGTTTTGAGTGAGCAGTAAGGATGTAGGTGAAGAAGGAGCTTATGACTGTGAAACTCATAATGAAGGGGGATTGTTTGTCCTGAAATAGAATCCCTTTTCAGTAAATAGACATATTTACAATGCATGTAAGATATTTTAAGAGATTGAGCCCCAAAGTTCCTAGAATGTAGCATGGTAAAAAAGCTTGTTCCAGTAACATTCAAATTCTGTACATTAATGCCAATTATTCCAAAGTCTGTTGAATTATCTACAAGAGTGAAAAGTTTTTACCTTTTCTTCCTAGAGCAAGTTTGGTAAGAGAAAGTCAGATATTCAATGTAGTGTCTGAGAAAGAATAAAAGGCATGACAAATGTGGAAAATGGAGATGATTGAGAAAGTTTCAGTTGTAAGTAAAGAAGCATTTATTTCAGTCATTAGGTCCTGGTGCTAGATTGAAGGGATTCATATGGAGAGCTCTGTGTCTTCAGCACATTTGGGCCAAAGCAAAACAAAGGGAAATTATTGTTTTACAAGTCTACATTAACTGACCTTAATTCGTCATTTTTATATTGTCTTAGATTTATTAGTATATATATGTAAAGATGGGAATAATTATGATATTTTTATACATATTTGTGATTTCTTATAAAATTCACCTCATCCCTCTTTCTTTTTTCACCCACAACTTTTCATTATTGTGATTATTCATACATGAGAAATATGTAATATTTTGGGAGAATTCACAGGAACCTTTTGAACAAGAATCAGTAAAATTTTTATATTTTGCTACACTTTCTTTGGCCCTTCTTTTTTGCCTATGTCCTTCATCCATTTCACCATGAACTTCACTCACTGCCATTAATCTTTTCCTGCCTCCCATCCATCCATCTATTCATCCATGTCTATCTTCTCTTTGTCCCTACATTTCAAAGTGTAATTATGTGTAATTTCATTTAAAACCACAAAGAAGAAACTAGAAAGGAATACTACTTAGTGCATCATTAAAACATTTACAAGAGCTGATAACCAGTGGCTAATGTCTGTAATCCTTGATACTCAGGTGTCTGTTATCTGAGGTTCATGGTTCAAAGTCAGCGTGAGCAGGAAAGTCTGTGATACTCCCATTTCCAATTAACCACTAAAAAGTTGGAAGTAGGGCTGTGGCTCAAATAGTAAAGCACTAGCTTTGAGCGCTATTGAGAAAAGCAACAGTGAAAAGAAACTGAGAAAGGGGATAATAAGTTTAAGTGCAGATTAAATAGGAGGAACCAAAAGTAGACAAGAAAAATTCAAATTTAAATGGCTATCACCACCACTTGTGACTTACACTAGTAGAAAAATGAGTAATAGACCCTTATTGATTGAAGTAAAAAATTCCACAATGAAAAGTAATAAAACAATGGAAAGTTTAGATTTAAATCAGATATTATGTATACTAAGCAAACATAGAAGTTTATTCAAAAGAAAGCTAATTCCTCCTAGTAGGTTTTTTATCCCTGAAGTCACGAAGAGAATTTCTATTTGACATTAACAAAACGTTGTAACACTTTGGGGCAAAAATGCAGCCTAGGAGCCCTGCACCAGAGGCCAAGATAGAGAAGACCTCCACAACCACCATGACCTTCCCCTTGGCACTGTGGTAGACAGGCAAGAAGGTGAGCCACACACTGCAGAACAGTAACATGCTGAAGGTCAGGAACTTGGCTTCATTGAAGGTGTCAGGCAGATTCCTGGCCAGAAAAGCAACAGTGAAGCTGGCCAGGGCCAGGGAGCCCAGGTATCCCAGGACACAGTAGAAGGCAGTGAGGGAGCCCTTGTTGCACAGGATGATGATGTGGCCATGTTCAGAGTATGTATCTGTGTCAACGAAGGGAGGAGAAGTCCCCAGCCAGAATCCACAGAGAGTAACCTGGATGAGGGTACAGATGGGGATGATGAAGTTAGGAGCCCCTGATACCAGCAGCCACCTAATCCTTCTCCCTGGAGAAGTGGCTTTGAAGGCCAGGACTACAGTCACCGTTTTGGCCAACACTGTGGAAACAGCCACAGTGAAGACAATCCCAAATGTGATGTGCTGCAGTCTGCAGGTAACTGTGTTGGGACGACCAATAAAGAGCAAGGAACAGAGGAAACAGAAGATGAGGGAGATGAGCAAGATGTAGCTGAGAGTCCGGTTATTGGCCTTGACGATAGCAGAGTCTTGATGTTTTGCAAATATCCCAAGAACAGCAGCAGTTAGCATAGAGAAGCAGAGAGCCATGCAGGCCAGAGCCATGCCCAAGGGATCTCCAAAAGCCAGGAAACTTGCAGTTCTCATGAGGCACTTATTTCTCTGTGTGTTGGCATACTGATGATCTGCACACTTCACACACTGGTCCATATCTGGAAAGAAGTACAAGCTACCATTAGTTCTTGATAGGAACTTCTTTTCTTACACGAAATTAGGAAATTGTTCCCTTAGATGTAATCCTAGCTTGTTATTATTAAGTGACACAAACACACTTTATTTCTTTTCAAAACCACAACTTACTCTCCTATTTCCATCTTCTTTATTCAGGCTGTTTTATTAAACTATTTTTCTTTAAGTGATTATTGTATGTGTTGATAATGTGACAATTGTGGCATTCTAATCTCTTTCAACTATTTCCAATACCTTTTCTTAACACTTATGAACAGTTTAAGTGTGCCCTATTCTGCAGTCTGGTGAACATTTTAAATCAGGCAGCTTACATTTTCCTACATGTCTTTGTAAAACATTTATTTTATCCATGTTACACATCCTTGAATTCTTCTCATTCTGTTTTTTCTCTCCAACTTATCTGTGAAGCAGTAGGAACAGAGAAACCACTCTTGGACAGTTTATAGTCATGCTCACTTCTTGAAGTGAATCCACCCTTCTGAATACTTGCTCTATGCCCTGAACAGTTCTGGGCAGAGAGAAATAAACCTGCAAGATCTGTGTTTCCTGTGTGAACAAAATGTATTTTTAAGGTAAGCACTAGCCTAATAAGCCTCACATTTACTTTCATTTTAGGGTTTACACTTGTCTTAACCCTTAGTGATAAGAGGGATTTCTAGAGCTAAGTTTGCCTGCAATAGAGTAGAAAAGTTTACTAAAATATATAATTCAAGCCCATGATCTATCACATTTCACCTAACAATACTACCACATGTCAAAATTAAATTACTAACAGAGAGATGAATAAAAGACTCTGCAATCATAATGCACAAGTTTTGCATTGAATGTTTGGTTGAAGAAAACTGAGGATAGATGGAAAATTTCTTCTGAAGTCACAGAATTACCTGTGCCGTTAGCAATTGCATTCTGTGGACAAGGTGTACAGTCAAAGCAACAGGTAGCCTTTTCCTCCTGAGGAGATTTCCTGAATCCTGGACCACAAGTCTCACTGCAGACAGAGTGAGGAGTCTGAGGAAAATCAGGTATGTGTCTGTAACTCTTCAAACTTTCATAGCTAAAACTCTAAACATGCATTGTTTTAAAGAACTGCTCAAGTACAATGTTTTCTAGCAGCTAAGTGCTGTCAATTAATTGAATTGTTACAGATTCCATATCCCATGATTCCTATAGACTTAATGTGCTAAAACCTTGATTTCTAGCCTGTTGAACTATTAAACAGTGTGGGATCTTGAAAAGATTGTATCATATGGCATGGAAATACATTTGAATGTACAGTCCTACGGAACTTGTTTAATTCATGTCATTATTTTATGTCTCCTACTCATCTTTAACAAGGGATAAAGCCTGGAGGAAACCTGCCTCTTATAGGCTCATTATATTTTCCTCTTAGGTTTGCAGTGACCATGAAGTATGAATCTTGATACTGGTGCTTTCAGTGACTCCTTTAGCCAAAGATGCCTAAATAGTCAGCTAACCATTGAATGAAACTTGTACAGAAGAAATACAATAAATGTCTCCACCATATGAAGTGATTCATCGGATACTTTATCACGGAGTTGGAATCCTACTAGAAAACTACTACTATTTTTGAATTTATGACAATGTTCTGAATCAAGAAGTAGGAACACATTTAATGTTTTTAAGTTCTGATCCTGGGGCTTGAAGTCAAGATCTAGGGCCTGGCCTTGAGCACATTTTGGTCAAAGTTATCATTCCACTACTTGTGTGAAAGCTCCACTTCCAGATTTTTGGTGGTTCACTGGAGATAACAGTCTCACAGAATTTCCTTATTGGGCTGACCTTAAACAAGGATATTAAAGTCTCAGCTATCTGAGTAACTAGGTATAAATTTAAAGGATGACTTTGCTTATTTGTGTGTTCTTAAAATTACTAGGATTAGATCCAACTCACCTCTGTGGTTCCTATGGCCCACTCCACCATATCTTCAGATAAAGACAGTTGGTTACCATGAAGAGCATATGGAGAAAACTTTCCTACTTTCACCTCAAGTTCAAGACCTTCTGGAAAATTCCAAATGTTCAGAATGTCATACTCTGGCTCCAATTTCCTTTTCTCATCCAAAATCACTTGCTGCCCAACAGAATTGTGAAACTGGATGTTCTTCAGGAAATGGAGCAACTGAAGAGAGACATCATATTATTGTGAAGTACATCCCAAAGGTAAAATAGAAAATCTGAATTAAGAAACACTCCTCATTGCCTTTAATCCCTGATTCTGAATTCAACATAGCACTGAGAATGATTGAAGTATCTGTGTAAACAATCTAAGGAGGAATAAAAATAAATTTCTGAATCCTGGTCACTCAGAAAAGAAGTACAAGCCTTTGTTCAAGAGAAATCTATAATATATAGCCACGAATGAGACAATTCTCAGTGGCATAGCTAGAGTTTATCAGAAACTCTATTTTTATTAATGTCTATAGTTTGAGATTTTTCAATTGTTATTACCAAATTTGAGTGAAACTAGATCACATATAGAAAATAGGGAACATTTTCTTCAGTATGTCATCCTTTGGTATTCCTGAAGAAATATAGGGAAAATTCTAATGTAGTTTTCAAAAGATTATCTATGGGCACATTGTGGTTATTTATAAGTAAATGAATTTATAAACTGATTACTGGTTACTCACACCTGTAATCCCAGTTACTCAGGAGGGTGAGCTATGAGTATCTTAAATTAAACCAGACTGGGCTTAAAAGTTTGTGAGACTTGCAAAAATAGTTGAAACATTCAATTTCATAGAATAGCACACCTTCTAGGCAGTGCCTCTGCTTATCATGTGTACCATCCATATAGGTGAAATTACCTGTGTAGGGGAAAGTGGTGTCCTTTTTCTATTTCTCATTATTTGAACTTCTGTCTGATGAAGAAGCATCTCATGGAGAGCCTGGGCCACAGCATACACAGCATTGTATATATCGTAACTGTGTCCAGACATAGTCATGTCTAAAACATGCCCAGGCAAGCAATCCAAAGAGGCCTCATGAACACAGTTGTCCCATGTCACACAGTCAGACTCAATATCTGAGCAATTAAAAGACAGAAACCAGATCCTAGCAAGAAAAATGTCTTCTGGGTATTTGGAAGGATTAACTGTCTTGACAAATTCTGTGAATCCAGAAACATCTTCATGATGATGTAAAAAAATGAGAGGTACATGCAATGAGCCTAGCATGAAGTATTTCCTTTTCATGGTGAAATCCCACTGTGAGTTCATGATACAAACTCTGCCTTTTATTAAAAGTTGCTCAATGCACACGATTAATTCTATTAGTTTACCATTATCACCATGTATGATGAAGACATTTGCTGAAGATTTATTTATCTCGTTATAAACTGCCATGGCTTCTAGTACATGTGATATCGATTGGATTGAGATTAATTGCTCATAGGCTACACAAACTCTGCTCTTGGCCATCTCTTCTTTCAATTCAGCAAGAATCCACGAATCATTCTCATCCTGTAAGTTTAACAGTCCCACCCAATTCCAGCTGAAGTGAAGCAGTAAGGAGACCATGGCAGTGGCTATTGATGTATCCTTTGGGGCCATCTGATAGAGAGCAGGAAACTTGTGATAGTCACTCAGGACATGAGAAAAAGGCCCAAAGGTAATCTAAAGGGGAAGGAAATTGGATGCATTATGAATTCGAGCATTGCCATCCATCAAAATTTGAGTCTTGGTGTGTGTGAAGAAGCAGTTGAAGTAGGTCAAAGGTAGAGTTCATTTTAGCTTTTGAGTAGTTGTATAAAATATAAATTGTAAAATGTCTCTTGATCTTTGTCACTATTTCCATAAACCCCTCCCATCTATATCAACCCAACCCACTCCCTGACTTTCCTAATTCCGTTTTCACATTTGTAGATTGAATATTCTGTGCTTTCCCACACATCTATTCCCTATTCATTTCACATTTTTCCTCAACACATACCCTTCTCAGATATGCTTCAGGTTTATGGTGTTTATTTTTTGTACTGTCAGTAGATAAGAAAAATCACAGCATCGAGTTCCATCTGTATGTATATCATGCTTTAATCATATATATATATATATATATATATATATATATATGAACATGTAACACACACATACCTTCATATATATATATATATATATATATATATATATGAAGGTATGTGTGTGTTACATGTTCATATTTTAGGCCTAGCTCTCACATATGAGAGAACATATTTCCCCACCTCAATCTGAGCTTGACTTACTTCATTCAAGATAATATCTTTGTGTGTGTGTGTGTGTGTGTGTGTGTGTGTGTGTGTATGTATGAGTGTGCACATACATGCCAGAAGAGGGGCACAAACTCATGTCCTCATGCACTTTGTTCAATTTTTCTCTCAAGACTTGGCTACCACTTGAGCCAACTCGTTGATCTACCAGCTTGTTGCTGCTTAATTGCAGATTCAAGTTTCCTGAATAGCTAGAATTACTGGTGTGGGCCATTTGTACTCTGCTCAACATATCTTCACAGTGGCAAGTCATTTTCCATTTACTCATTCTTTCAAAGGGGATAATTGATAAGGCTTGCAACAATAAATTATCTGTTTGTCTTCTCTAACTTTTCCATATCCTTTTCCAATCAGCAGATATATATCTATATATATCTTTGACTACTTATTCTTTGATACCACAAAATTTGATAGGTTTATAAATTCAGTCTCTTCTATCATTCTCTTCTAGCACCTGAAATGTTAACAAACGACACCCTTTTATAACTTTTGACACCACCATTCTCACCTGTGGAAATTTGTAGAGTCCCAGCAATGTTCCAATTTTGTCAGATGTTAATCCTTGTGGTCCTGTAAGTACTGCTATAGACCTGCTGTCTCTCATACAAGTGTAGTTTGGAATCTCGTACTTCCCAAAGAGCCAAATGAAGGGATTCTTAAGCATTGACCAAGCTCTGTATTGATCATCATAGACGTCAAATCCCAGAGTCCAGTTACTTAAAAAATCAGGGTTTTTATTGATCTCCTCAATAGCAAAAGCCAAAGCCAACACAAACTGATAGTTCTTGAAGTCAAGCCTGCATAATTAGCATAGACATGTAGGAGGATTATTTAAAAACTTATGACTTTAGTATAATAAATGCTTGCTTCTTTGCCAATGAATTATTTAAATTATTATCCCAATTGGCATGAATATGAATGTAGTGTGTTATGGTTGTATAGAGAATTAGAAGAAGACATGAAGGGCATTTGTCATGAATACGATTCAGAAACTCAGTTAAGTAAAGAGAGAGAGAGCTTGCTTCCCCACTCCACCCAAACCCTGTTGGAATAGATTTTTATGAGACAGGAAATATTCTGTTGCCTTTATCTTAGGGCAACTAGCTGCACCTGTGTGAAAAATAAATCTTGTGGTTTTGTCACCCACTTTATTTTTTAAATGTTTTTTATTGTGAGAATACTGTACGGAGGATGAGTTACAGTTACAGGAGCAAGGTCATGAGTACATTCCTTATAAAGCATTATTGTCTCCTCCTTTGTTTTCCCCCTACCATCTTTCCCTCCCATCTCCACAACTCCTCCCTCCCCCCACCCCACACACACCTAAATTGAAATGTTCGCTTTTCGGCAAGTGTCTTCTACATCTCTTTGTTGCAGTGGGTCAATCTGTATCTCTGTTTAAACAATTTATTTTTTCCCTTCCTTTCTACAAATTATACCAACATTAAATACAGTGAAAACAAGGGCTATACCGTGGCAGAGAAACATAGAAAGCAACAAAAAATCACGTGGTACCTTATAAATACATTAGAAGCAATTCCAAGAAATGAAAAACCACTTGTATACTTACCTTGTGATTAATTTAGTTAACATCGTCTTATCTGACCCTTTCTGTTTGTCTCAGAGTATATGTACTAGTTATGGAAAATAAGGGAAAACATTGGACCCATATTTCTTTGGGCCTGTATTTCTTTGGGCCTGGCTTACTTTACTTAATATAATTTTTCCATTTCCTAACAAATGAGGCAATGTCATTCTTTCTGATGGAGGCATAGAATTCCATTGTGTATATATGCCACATTTTCATGATCCATTCATCTACTGAGGTGCATCTGGGTTGGTTCTATATCTTCGCTATGGTAAATAATGCTGCCATAAACATAGTTGTGCTGGTAACTTTAGTATGGTCTTGTTTGTGATCATTTGGCTAAATGCCCAAAAGGGTGATTGCTGGGTCATAGGGGAGCTCTATGTGTTGTCTTTTGAGGAACTGCCATACTGATTTCAAAGTGGTTGAACAAGTTTACACTCCCACCAACAATGCAGTAGGGTTCCCTTCTGTCCACAACCCTCCAGCATCTGTTTTTATTAGAGTTTTTGATTATAGCCCTTCTAACTAGATTGAGGTGGTATCTCAATGCTGGAGGGGATGTGGACAGAAGGGAACCTTACTGCATTGTTGGTGGGAGTGTAAGCTTCTTCAACCACTTTCAAAAGACTCTAGAGCTCCCCTATGATTGAGCAATCCCACTTTTGGGCATTTACCCAAATGATCACAAACAAGACCATACTGAAGCTACCAGCACAAGTATGTTTCTGGCAGTATGATTTACCATAGTGAAGATATAGAACCAACCCAGATGTACCTCAGTAGATGAATGGATCATGAAAATGTGGTGTATATGTACACAATGGAATTCTATGGCTCTATCAGAAAGAATGACATTCCCCATTTGTTAGGAAATCGAAAGAGTTGGAAAAATTTTACTAAGTGAAGTAAGCCAGGCCCCCAAAACATAGATCCCATGGTTTCCCTTGTTTGCAACAACTATGTCTGAGACAAGGAGAAATGGCCAAGTAAGTCGATGTTAGGCGAAATGAACCCCAAGATAAAGACTCAAATGTTTTTTCTTTCTTGTGATTGTTTTTTAACATAATTATAAGATTATTTCTTTGATGCTTTGTATGTCTTTCCCCCACAGTATAACCTGTTTTCACTGTATTTGATGTTGGTATAATTTGTTGAGCGAAAGGAAAAAAACAAATTGTTAAAATAGCCATATTGTTGGACCCATTGCAACAATGAGATGTATAAGACCTCATGTTGAAAAATGAACTTTGTTTTGACTTTCATTTCTTTTATGGCTAGAGAGGTTGAGCATTTCTTCCTGTGTCTATTAGCCATTCTTATTTCCTCTTCAGAAAAAGTGTCTCTTGAAATCTTTAGCCCACTTGTTTATTGGGTGGTTGTTTCTTTGAGGATTTGTTGTTGGGGGATTTAATTTTTTGAGTTCCAATATATTTTAGATATGACACCTCTGTCCATTTTATGGTAGTGAAGGTCTTCTTCCAATCCGTGGGCTTTCTATTGATCTTACTAGTTATGTCCTTTGATTTGTTGTCTTTCTGGGTCTCTACTAAGAAAATTTTGTCCTGTGCCAAGGAGACCTAGGGTTACTCCTATTCTGACCTGTAATGTTTTCAGGGTGTTTCCTTTGACTCCGAGTCTTTGTTCTATTTGGAATTGATTCTGGTGCAGAGTGATATATAAGGATCTAGTTTTAGTTTTCTACAAGTGATTAACCAATTTTGCCAGAAACATTTACTGAAGAGGCTGTTTTTCTTCAATTCTATGTTTTTTAAGCTCTCTTATTAAAGATTAGATGGCTATAGGTCTGTGGGTTCATTTCTGTCACCCCGATATTATGTGTTTATATGGCAGGTCAGGCTAATCAATCAATGTTCAATTTAAGAGCAACTTTCAGAAGCAAAATGTTATTTGTGAAATATTCTATAGCAAGCTGTGCTTATATACCCAACATATTGAACAGCTCTTACTGCAATAACCAGCAGAACATGGGCTCTAATACCTGGTGAGGGAATTTTATTTTTTATTTATGTAACAAAACAAAAAGGATGCATCCAATTCCAAGGAACTCGTTATGGAGAGGAACCGACAACATGAGGGTTGAGGAGAGAATTGTAAACAAGCTATATATTCAAATCCTAATTCCAAGGCCACCATGGTAAATTACAGTGATCACTACTCTCTTCCCAGTATACTTATAGTGAAAAACTGAAAAGAGGCCAAAATAGCAATATAAATAGGATCAAAGTACTTTTTCTTTCTTCTGTGTGTGTGTGTGTGTGTGTGCCAGTATGTGTGTGTTAATATTTGTGTGTTCATGTGTTCAAGTGCCTCCATTCACTTGTATATATCCTTGTATACTGTAGGTATATATGAAATGATCACAAAGAAAGCCTATAATCTTTTGTAAAGTATTCTAAACCGAAAAGTATAGTGAGCTTGAGGAAAAATATAATTAAACACACATATATTTATGAATAAGGAAAGCAAGAATGAAGATGTGTGGAAAAGTTTTGTTAAAAGTTGACAACAGTATTTTGAAAAAAACAAATGTAGAGAAGAATTCAATGTAATAGACATAAACATGAAAGGATAATCAGACTTTTGACTATGACATCTATAGCAAGCTGTCTTATGATGAAGCACTCACACTTGAAATGTATGTACAGGGAAGATTCTCAACTGAGCCAACTTCCCAGCCCATCCTTACTTATTTTTAAGAAGAGGAAAAACTCACAACCCCTAAAGCTGGAAATAGCACAACAGGAATTACCAGACACCTCTCATTCCTAACCCTCAACATTTATGGACTTAACTCTCCAATTAAAGACATAGACTGACTACTTGGATCCAAAAGCAATATCTGTCCATCTGTTGCCTACACTAGACAAAACTTGCGGACAGAGCATTCTCCAATTGAAAGTTTGGAATAAAGAAGATAGAGTACCTATCCTAATATCCTAATGTGCTAAAATAGACTTCAAATTAAAATTAGTAAAGAAAGAGAAACAAGATCATTACATACTAATAAAGGGAACTATACAATTATACTGTATTTTGATATGTATATATATGAATTTTATAGCATATACTATACTGATTATACTACACGAACTAAACAAATAACAAAAAGATAGGACAATTCTAAATATCTTCAAAGGCTGGAGCACCCAACTTCATCAAACACATACTACTTGATTTAAAAATACACACAGATGATTTTTTTTGGAGGAGTTCCGGGAAGATGGCGGAGGAGAAGCTGGAATCTGAACAAGCTCTTGCATAGAAAACAGTTTCAGAGTTCCAGTGAACAGTCCCAAGCCAGAGAATCACACCAAGTGTGCCATCACAGGACAGAGACTTAGTCAAGAGAGGGGAAGCCAAGCAGAGACATCTGAGCGTCTGTAAGCAGCTGCTGCTGCGGCGGCAGGGTCGCAGCGGCGACCGCAGCCGCGGCCATACCTGAGCGCTCACACAGAGAGTCCGGGACGAAGGAGCCAGACGCAGCGGACGAGCGGATTCTACTCAACACCAGCAAGAACCGACAAGGAGCGGACAACTTCATCCTGCACTTTGCAGACCAGAGACGACCCAGGATCCAAGACTCGGCGTGAGTAGAAGCCCCACTTCCTCACTCCTTCCCAGGGAGCAGAGGAGGGAAGGCCACCCCTCCCCCCCCCCCCCAGCACCGGTGATCTCCATCTTGGATACCGACAAAGCTCGGAGGAGCGGCTAGCTCCAGCTCAGGCCTTGGAATAAAATGAGTCATTTAGCAGGTCACAAGAACTTAACGGCGCAGTGACCTCACAGACTCAGTTCCATCCAGGGAAAAGTCACCCAGCTCAGGCGCCAGCCATTGGAGTGGCTCTCCTCACCGGGTAACCAGAGCCAGAGGCTGCCCCTCCCTCTAGCAGCCACCACAATCAATTGAAAAACAGAAACCCTGAGAATGGCTCCAGGCTGGGTGCTGTGAGTTTTTTTCACAAAATAGCCCCAGGGAAAAGCTACTGTTTGTTGAAAGGCCTCAACTCTACCCAGAACCTAGCCTCATCACTGCATCCCCCTCTTTTGTGATTCTCAAAGCAGATCACCCTCCCAGTAAACTAACCTGGGAGGGGGAATCTCAAAATCTTGGGTAAAGCAGAGCATTTTTCTGCCTGTTCCAACAAACTGACTTAAGAAACCAATCAAGCCACAGGACCTCAAGCTGACCAGAGACTCCAACCACACTCTGGTTACAGACAAAAGGGAGATACAGGACTCTTCCCACCCCTCCCCCCCCCCCCCAAAAAAAAATCAAAGACCTTTTTTCTTCTTTTCTTTTTTTCTTTTTTTTTGTTTTTTTTTTTTTTTCGTTTTTTGTTACCTTATATATATAAAAAAATTTTTTTTGCTTTTCTAAAACTTTTATTAATCTTTAATTTTTGCCTCTTCTGAAAAAATAATTGTTTTCCATTAACTTTTGTTTTTTTTTCTTTTCTCCTCTTATAATTTTTATTTTAGGAATACGTGAATGTGTGTTTTCCTTTCTTTTCTTGTCTTCTTTCTCTTTTTCTTTCATTCTTAATTATCTTTTTTTTTGTCTAGCTCTACTGAACTTCTGATCTTTTCTTCTCATTTTCCTATCCTTTCCACCTTTTCCTCTTTTGTTCTTCTTTATGTGACTTAACTCTTGTCCTGCACATCCTCAGATAAACCCGTAGTTAACTAGTAGACCCTATCCCCCATTGTGTACACACTTAATCCACAAACTTATTACTCAATTCAAAACCTCTGAGACTTAAATTCATTAAGAGCAGTACTACCTCTTTATACCTATATAATATTTTAAGCATTTTTTTTAAAGTTTTTCACATCTCCTCTACGTCCCTCCCTTTCTCTCAACATATTCACATTCCTCTCTAAATAGATGGTCTTTTAACCTCTATAATAACATTAATTTTTACGTTTCTATTTTTTTTCTGGTCTCTTTTCATTCCCCTTTCCCTTTCTTCTTTTTCTCTCT